TTAGGGCTTTAAAGGTAATAACCAACACCTTGTACTGCGCCTGAAAACGAATGGGCGGCCGGTGAAGTGATCTTAAGACTGGTGTTATATGGTCTCTTCTCGATGTTCCTGAAACCAGCCTGGCTGCCATATTCTGTACTAGTTGAAGTTTCTGGACCAAGTACGAGGGTAGCCCCAGAGACCTTTTTTGAAACAGAAAAATCGGAAGCACTTTCCACTCTCTTCCTGTTGTTAAAAAAGGCCTTTTCTGAATTCAGAATAGCTCCAGAAGGCCTCCCTACCTTCTAGAGGGCATTTGGGGGGCAAAAATATTTTTAAAATGTTTTTCAGGAGCAGGTGCAGCCCTCCAAGGTCTCCTGCAGGGCTGGTATGGCCCCTTGGTCTTCCACAGTTCCCCAGCCCTGATCTAGGGCATGGTGTTTCACTGAGAGAGTGATATTCTTGGTTGCTTTGGTTATTGGAGCAACATCCAAAGTGAAGTGCTAATGGTATAAATAGACTATGGATCTCAAGACACTTGGGGTTTGCTAAAAAGTGGATTATAAACCACTGTGGTGGAGTCTCCTTTGGAGTGCTGTAGAGCAAGGGTAGGCAACCTTTCCCCTTTAAGGGCCGAGGGACTTCAGCTCCCAGAATCCCAGGAGCTATTGGCCAACATGGGACTATTATAGGCCAACATGGCTGAGGCTTCTGGGAGCTGAAGTCTCTCGGCCCTTAAAGGGGAAAAAAGGTTGCCTACCCCTGCTGTAGAGTCTCCTTCTTTGGAGGCTGTTTTTAAACAGAGGCTGGATGGTCATCTGGATGGCTCCTGGGGGTCTCTTCCAACTCAAGGATTCAGTGATTCTGTGTTTTTAACACTGAGATAACATGTGTCTGCCTTCCCCCTTCTTCCTCCCCCAACTCTTTTCTTGCAACATACATTTAATTCCCTCTATGGTTGGTTGACTTGTGGTTTCAAATAAGATGCACATCCTGTCCTGGCCATTCAGGTCAGTTGGCACCATTTCCCATCCCTCTGTGGAGTCTGCATTTGGAATTTGTTGAGAAACGGCTGAATGCTAAGAATGTGCTGTCTTAGTCAGACAGGCCTTTGTGTTCCCTGCTATGAATTTTTGTTCACACAAAGCCTCATAGGATGGAAATATTGCCGCATTGTGCTGAGGAACAGAGCTGGCCGCTTGCACATAAAGCATTGCCGCACCTGTTCAAACAGGATTTGAGGCGGGAGGGGAGTCGTTCTGCCCCTGAAAGAAGCAAGGCTAACAGCTGTGTGCTTTTTGCAGCTTTTACTTGGTTTTTTGTGTGGAACATATTTTTTCTTCATGATTCACGTGGTGGTAACAAATTGGCTAACTCCTCCTAAAGCTATTGACCAGCAAAGTTGTTGACAGTGCAGAGTGGGCTTTCATGGATATGGGATCTTGCCCTCCCAGAACAAAACAGGTTCCCTTACTCCCCATGTCCTGCGTATTTGATTTATTTATTTTATTTTTATCTTGCCCTTTCCCTAAACAATTTGTAACTTTTTTTAAAGCAATAGACTCATTAAAATAATTATAGGAAGCAAAACAGTCCACATGATGAGGATGCATATTCACCTCTTTCCTGATAGCAACAAAAATGCAGTCAGGTTTTTGCATCACAGGGGGAAGCTGTTTTATCAATCCAGTGGATCTCTGCCTGCACTGCTCTTTGCAAGAGGGCCTGTTGAAGTGGAGGCATGCTTTTTAGGATCCTTGCAGGTTGATTTTAAAGTTGTAATCCCCCGAGGAAGGCCATAAAAATATTTCCGGGATGAAGCTCCTTGGCTACTTTGAATAATAAAAATCACCTCTCTTTTCAGCATCCTGAGACTTTGTAGGGGGAGCAGTCACAGGCACAGTGGAGGTACCTTCCTCCCTTGCAGACGTCTGTGATGCTCTTGACCTTTGGAGCAGCACAAAGAGGAGCCCTCAGACTGGATGCAGGTTGTCTAGCCCAGTGTGCAGCTCTCTGAGGGAACCACTTAGCCGACCAGAGCCACCTGCTTGGCTTACCTCCTCTCCACCATGAGCTACCTGCCTGTGTGTGGCTGGACACCTGAGTGTTGTCGATAGACACTTGTGCTATCTTAAAGGTACCGGTGTTAGAGAGCCAGCGTGGTGTAATGGCTTGAGCATTGGACAATGACTCTAGAGACCAGAGTTCAAATCTCTGCTCAGCCATGGAAACCCACTGGGTGACCTTGGGCAAGTCACACACTCTCTGCTTCAGAGGATGGCAATGGCAAGCCCTCTCTGAAGAAATCTGCCAAGAAAACCCCATGATAGGTTCCTAGAATCATAGAGTTGGAAGAGACCCCAAGGGTCATCCAGTCCAATCCTCTGTTGTGCAGGAATGCACAAAGCACACATGACCGATGGCCATCCAGCCTCTGTTTAAAGTCCTCCAAAAAAGGAGACTCTGCCATTCTCTGAGGGAGTGTCTTCCACTGTCAAACAGCTCTTAATGTCAGGAAGTTTGCTCCAGATCCTATTCTCTGGAGCAGCAGAAAACAAGATTGCTCCATCCTCAATATGACACCCCTTCAAATATTTAAACAGGACTATCATATTAGGGCCACTGTAAATTGGAAACATTTGAAGGCATAAAACAACAACAACAACAACAACAACAACAACAACAAAGGTATTGGCAGACAAAGTGGTCACTCTAAATAAAAAAGCTGCTTTCCCACAGTATAAAGAAGAGCAAAGTGGTAGAAGTGTGTGTGTGGGACTACCGTGGGGATTAATCTATCAAGCTGATATGGGAGTTTGATTCTTTAATGCCATGCAGTTACCCAGGCACGACCCTTAGGCCGCCACACTTGCCCTTTCTTGAGCAGGAAATTGGGTCATTCTCAAGGCGATACAACAAGGATCGGGAAAGGCAGGCCGCTGTGCTGAAAACCAATGGATGACTTCATCTTTCTCTGAAATGATGGCTGCAGAGAAGATGATTTAGACATTGTAAGAGTGTCTCTGAAACCTTAGCGTTTAACCTGGCAGAGGTGTGGCAGTTCAGCTGTGCCACTCAGTGAGGTTTGTGCCATGAGGATGTCTTCATGGCAGCCA